AAAAACAAAATGCATGCAGGCCACATTTGACGTTTTTCCCTAATGTTTTTAAATGTAGCAAATAAACAGTAATTGTGCATTAATTGTGCAAGTGTGTTCCCTGCAGAACACATGCATTTTCAGTTAGAAAACCAATAAAACATATCATTTGGCCATGGGGTGCCCAAACATTTGCACACAGGTCTCCCCCATCATGTGAAGGCATATGTTTCTTCTGGGAAACATGAAGCCAGAGCCCCCAGGCAAAAATCTAGTATGTAGTACACTGTGTGTCCTTGTTTCTTGTCTTCCTCCCTCACAGCTGCGCTCCCTCTCCCTCTCCTCTAAAGCTCTCTCTCTCTCTCTCTTGTTTTCTCTATGCTCACCTGACGACTGTGGTGCTCTAATGGACCTCACAGAAGTCATCCTCATTTATGGCTAATCCTTCCATCCTCAGTAACCGGCCTACAAAACCTGCCAAAAAAGTTGAGCTTCTTTAAAGTTCCTCATTCACTCACTTCTTATTCATAAAGCTGGCCCCTGCTGTGGCCCTAATTCTGGGTTGGAGTTAATGAGGCCCGTTGTCTGTCGACAGCTGAGATCTTTACAGCATGAAGGGTAGTCGATAGCGGTCCAAAGGCGGCACAGTGTTTAAAAGTGTTCCAAAAAAATAAGCCAATACACAACACAGTCCTGAAAAACTACAAACAATTTCCTATTTAATAGCTAAATATTACACATGAATAATCCCATCAAGCTTGATCATCTAACTCTTCATTAAACCCAAACGTGCCTGGTGGTGCTGTATTATTATAGACTAAATGAATAGTCAGATTTGCTATTTTAGGCTGTTACTTAAATTTCCATTTCAAAGCCCTGCATATGAGCGAATTCAATGAGCAGTGGTGTGCTACTCCTTGTGTGTTTGAAAAAGCATCCACAGCAGGAGTTTCCAGTTCCAGTCACAGGCGGCCAAAGGACTGTACAGTTTAGAGTTCTCTGTGCTCTGAAACACCTGCTTCTTCATCAGCTAATTAGCAAGCCCTCAATTGGTGAACTGGTGGTGTTAGTAGAAAGCAGTAGAAAACACTTTGCTGGACTACAGCAGGAGAAGATTATCATTTTCCTTCAAACTGAACTGTCTGTCCAAGCAGACTTTAGACATATTAATTTGTTGCATATTAGTTATTATAGCATAATAAGGCAAAATATATTTTCCCTGGCTGAAGGAAAAGGCCCTTTTAAAGCAAAAAAGTCTCCTTAAATAATAGCTAAAAACTACATAGCATTAATTAGTCAGCTGGCTAGCACAACTAGCTACCTAATTTGTTAGATTAATGCTAGCTTGCTAGCCAGTTAATGCAGTGTAGTTTCAGTAAACTATTATTTATCTATCCTAACTGGAGCAAAAGGTCTCTGAAGCAAAAACGTCTCCTCATGACATTTAAATTATCACTTGCTACAAAGTGCACTGCATTACCTGACTAGCTTGCTAGCATAACTAGCTGCCTAATTTGTAAAACTAAAGCTAGCCAGTTGGCCAGTTAATGCAGTGTAGTTTTAGTAAACTATTATTTATATATCTTGATTGGAGCAAAAGGTCTCTTTGAGGCAAAAAAGTCTCCTCATGACATGCAAATATTTGTTTGTTAAAAACTACACTGCATTAACAAGGTAGCTAGCTAGCAGAACTACCTACCGTATTTGTTAGATTAAAGCTAGCCAGTTAGCCAGTTAATGCAGCGCAGTTTTTAGTAAACTATTATTCATATATCTTGATTTATAACGTTCAACATGGCGGAGCAGAAACTGGTCTGCAGAGGAGACGAAGTTTATGCTCTGATCTTTAAAAGACGGTGGTGGGACGGATGTCCAGCTTATGTGTCTCAGAACTTCTTTAATAAGGACATGTGAAGCACGTTTTCTGAGTCTGACATCATTTTAAAGCAATTAAAAACACAAGCGCGCCAACTGGAAACTCTTCTCACTCGGACTGGACCTCACGTGATGTTCGCTGTCATGGTAACGTTTACTCTAAGCGCTACTCCATTTTGCATCGGATTATTTGTAGTGAGCATGTAAACGAAGATTTTCCATCAAATTGTTGAATAGAATGTGCATATAAACACCTCAGTCTGAGTCTGTAATACAATCGGATTGGCAAAAATCTGTGCATGTAAACACAGCCAGTGGCAAGGAAAAACTCCCTCAACAGGAGGAAGAAACCTTGAGAGGAACCAGACTTAAAAGGGGAACCCATCCTCCTCTGGTCGACACCGGATAACAGCACAGACACAAAACAGTATAAGTGGATACAGTTTTACACCACTGTGCAGTGCTATAAACTACACTGCATTAACTAACTAGCAAGCTAGCATAGCTAGCTGCTTAATTTGTAAGATTAATGCTAGATAGTTAACTAGTTAAAGCAGTGTAGTTTTAGTAAACTATTATTTATACATCTTGATTGCAGCAAAATGGCTATGAAGCAAAAAAGTCTCATCACATATATTGTTTGCTAAAAACTACACTGCATTAACAAGCTAGCTAGCAGACCTAGCTATCTAGGTTGTCAGATTAATGCTAGATAGCTATTTAATTCTGTTTAGTTTTTAACAAACTACTTTATATCTCATGAGAAGATATAAATAATAGTTTGCTAAAAACTACACTACATTAACTAGCTAACTTGCTAGCACAATTAGCTACCTACTTTGTTTGATTCATGTTAGCAGTTAGCTGCTTTCTCATCAGCTAATTATCAAGTGTTTTAATATGATTGTCTGTGTAGTAGAGAGCAAGTCTAGTAGCAGTGTTGAGGCCGTACTGGACCTCAGATGATAACTATACACACATTATACATTATTGACTGTCCATTGACTGTCCACTTCATGAGCTCCTATCCTACATTATAGGTCCACTATATGGGTATACAGTTACATGCTGTAGCCCGTCTGTTGCCGCATCATTGATTAAAGAGTTCACATTACTTGACACCCCTGCGGGACCACCACGGAGCAGGCATTATTTAGGTGGTGGACCGTTCTCAGCACTGCAGTGACACTGATGTGGTGGTGGCATGTTAGTATGTGTTGCGCTGGTACGAGTGGATCAGACACAGCAGTGCTGCTGGACTTTTTAAACACTGTGTCCACTCACTGTCCACTCTATTTAACACTCCCACCTTGTTGGTCCACCTTGTAGATGTAAAGTCAGAGCCAACAGCTCATCTGTTTCTGCAGTTTGTCTTTCCCATAGTCCTTCATCAGTGGTCACAGGACGCTGCTGGCTGGATATTTTTGGTTGGTGGACTATTCACAGTCCATTAGTGATGCTGAGGTGTTTAAAAACAGCAGCACTGCTGTGTCTGATCTACTAATACCAGCCCAACACAAACTAACACACCACCACATTAGCGTCACTGCAGTGCTGAGAATGATCCACCACTCAAATAATGCTTTGTGGTTCTCCTGCGAGTTTCCTGATCAAAAAATGGGGCTAACAAAAAAGGGCAAACAGATGGACTACAGTCTGTAATTGTAGAACTGCAAAGAGGCCAGGGAGTGTCTATGCACACATATTACAAAATGAAAGAGTTAAAACAGTAATTTTAGGATTGGATCTTAATTTAAAGGCCCGAAAATCCTACTTCTTTCATTTCAGTTTTCAAAAATGCAAACATCTGTCCTTGCAAAAACTAGTGATGTACACGGTTAAGGTTTAAGTCAATATAGGATAATATATGTTTCTGCATGTCTAACAAGCTCCAAAGGTCAGTATTAAAACTAGGACTGTACAATGTTAAAAATGTGGGTAAGTGAATGTATGCCATCATTAGTAGGGTACTAACAACACACTGCAAAACTCAGATGTGTGAATCCCACAGATAGCTAAAATTAGCATTACTGTAGCTGCGGTAATCAGATACTTACAAAGACAGAGGATACTTACAAAGTCTCTAAATTAAAGTCATTATATAATGACCAATATGACAAAAGAATAGCTAGGTAGCTAGACAGAGCCCTTTTTCCAAAAAAGTTGGGATGCTTTGCAAAATGTTTATTTTTATAAAAAAAAATTCAGCTAATTGAAAAACTGTGGTTGGTATAGTGTAGTGGGTTACACCTCTTCTATACTGTAGACTGGGGTTCAATCCCCTGCCTGGGCAAGCACCCTCCACTATGCCAATAAGAGTGTTTAGGCAAGACTCTTAAGACTACCTTCACCTACCTGTGTACAATTATCAGACTGTAAGTCACTTTGGATAAGAGTGTCTGCCAAATGGCGTAAATGTAAAAAGACAACAAATATGTATTAAAAGAGCATCCCAGACAGGCTGAGTCTTTAAGAGGTAAAGATGGGGAGGGGTTCACCAGTGTAAAAGACTGAACATAATAACTTTTCTCGACTTAAAATAAAAACAAAACTTGAGGATTATACCATCTCGGTACACAATATCATTAAGAGATTCAGAGAATCCAGAGAAATCTCTGTATGCAAAGGACAAGGTGAAAAACCAATACTCGCTGGCCAAAGATGGCACTGTGTTAAAAACAGAAATAATTCTGTAGTGGAAATCACTGCATGGGCTCAGGAACATTTCTGAAAACACAGTTTGTTGGTGCATCGACAAATGCAAGTCAAAACTCAATGTAATCAAAGCAAAGAAGAAACGACATATAAACAGGATCCAGAAACACTGCTGCCTTCTCTGGGCCGAAGTCTAAGTTTTTTGGGGAAAAATGGTTATAGATAGATAGATAGATAGATTTATGATTTAAATAACAGAACACTCAAACTCATCTGCTTTAGAAAAATACTTTGATGCCTACCTTTACAGTAAAGCTGATGATACTGTGTGTTTTGATATATTACTGCAACTTTGTTACACTAATATTACAGTAGCCATACAATAAGATGCTGCATACAGTATCATCTGCCTGTACTGTAAATGTTTTCTGTATGAGTTTCTAAGAAAGCGGCCGGAGTGAATGTACAAATGAAAAGAAGTCGCAACTTACCTGCATTCATCAGTGGTCCGTTATCCTTTTCGTTTGTGGTCCCTTGTGATGACTCACACACCAGAGTGCACTGTGGGTAAAAAAAATAAAATAAAATAAGTAGGCAAATGGATTGCCTTCTCCAGACTCAGAATTCTCAGAAAGTTGATGTGCGATGAACACAAAGCGTCACACTCAAAACTGATCTCACATCAACCTCGGTGGCAACAAGTGTCTGAAGAGAACACACATTCAATTAAAGATTACAGCGTCTCTGGAGCGCCGTGTAAATACAGCATGACGCTCCGTCACAAGCACAGAGTAATGGGTGTCTCCCTGCACTGTAATAAATCACAGCACTGCTGCCAGCGGTCCTTTACAGCCAGGAATAATTGGCTGCTGTTTAAAGGGGGAGAAAGTAGAGCCGATCTTGTCGTGGAAGACATTCGTCACAGGCTGCTGGGATAGAAACTGTCCTCCACAGCCACATCCAGCACTGCTGCTACTGCTGCTGCGCCGAAGATGCCACATTAAAGAGTTGGAGGTGACAGTGTCCCGTCTTGGTCTCTCTCTCTCTCTCTCTCTGCCTCTGACCATCTCTGTGCTAGTTTTTCACTTTATCTACTCCTTCTCTCTCTCTCTCTCTTTCTCTCTCTGTCTCTCTCATTCTTGCTCTCCTATTTCTCTCGTTCTCTCTCCATTTCTTTCTTTCTCTTTCGTGCATTCTCTCTTAAAACTTTGTTTTCTTTTTGTTCCTCTCATTTTCTCTCCATTTCTTTCTCTCTCCTATTTCTCTTTCATTTCTCTATTTTTTTCTCTTGTTTTTTCAGTTTCTTTCTTTCACTCTTATTCAAGTTTTTCTTTTTGTTCCCTTCTTTCTCTCTCTTTCTCTATTTCTTTATCTCTCTCATTTCTCTTTTTCTCTTGTTCTCCCATTTCTCTTTTTCTCTTGTTCTCCTATTTCTTTTTCTCTTGTTCTCCTATTTCTCTTTTTCTCTTGTTCTCTTCTCAGTTTTTCTTTCTTTCTCTTTTAATTTCTCTTTTTCCTTTTGTTCCTCTAATTCTCACTCTCTCTCCCATCTCTCTTTCTCTTGCTCTTGATTTCTTTCGTCCTCTCTCTCTTATGCATTCTCTCTTTCAATTTGTTTTTCTTTTGTTTCATTCATTTTCCTCTTTCCATTTCTTTCTCTCTCCCCATTTCTTTTTCTTTCTCTGTTTCTTTCTTTCTCTCTCTTTTAATTTCTCATTTTCTTTCTGTTCCTCTCATTCTTGCTCTTTCTCCATTTCTTACTGTCTCAATTTCTTTCTCTCTCTTTCCCTCTCTCCATTTTGTCTGCTCTCTCCCATTTCTCTCTTTCCCTTTCCTTCTTTCTTTCTTTCTGTTTTTCTCATCCTGTCCATTTTCCCTCTTTTTTTCTCACTCTTCCATTTCTCTCCTTCTCTCCCTTCCTCATTTCTATTGTTCTTCTTTCTTTCTTTTTTCTCTCTCATCTGTTCTTTAAATTTCTCTTTTTGTTCATCTCATTCTATCTCATCCATTTCTTAATCTCTTATCCACATTCTCTCTTTCTCTGTTTCTCTCATTCATTCTCTCTCTCTCTCTCAGCCTCACTCTTTCTTCCCCCATTACTTTCACAATTTTGTTCTCTCCATTTCTCTCTCTCTCTTTCTTCATTTCTCTCTCTATGCTTTATTAGCTAAATTTGCAATTAAATGCTCTTGCCAAAGCAGTAAAATGAATGCTTAATATTGAATAATTTGAATAATTCTCTCTCTCTCTCTCTCTCTCTCTCTCTCTCAGTTTTCTCATGAGCTGTCTGCAGCACCTGTGTTGTTCCTGCAGTTTCTCAAACAGCGTAGAAAGCAGTGTAAAAGAGACCCTTGTGCCAAATCAGATCAGTCACTGATTCCCGTCCAGCTCCAGCCTTCACTCCCCATCACTTCACCTAAACACTGCGGATCAGCTTTCTGGGGTGTGAGAGAAGGGCCTTCACTCCTAATCAAATCAAGCACTGACCTCAGAGCAGCCAAAGTGAGCGCCAGGCCGCTTCTGACCGCATCGTCAGCTCAGACAGGAAAAATAAATAAATAAAGTAAAACAATGACTGTTAATCAGCTGTGCAGAGAGAGAGCCGGAGTGGCAGTCGCCCTTCGTTGGTTGTACTGAGGAGCCATGACCCAAATTCCCCCCGAAACAGAGAAAGTTCTGGCTTCCAGACGAAATAAGACTACAAAGGCTCCAAGCCTATTGAAGTGGAGCTCCACTGACTTTCCAAAATTTCAGCATTATTCACTCGCAGAGAAAAGCAGAGATCAGAAACTGAATAAATGATTAACTCTATTTCTTTCACACAGGCTGCATGTGGGCCTACTGTAATAAAATAATAGGTCTAAAAGCTGTTAGACTCAGTAGTTGTGCTAATGAGGACATGTATGAATGCAATGTTACAACAGAGTTAAATTCCCCATTAAAAATGCATATGCATACTTAGTGACATGCTTATTGCGAAACCTGATACAAAAAGTCACGTGTGGGTATACAGAAAAGCACAAAGGACATTAGGTCTTGATTACCAAATGTATCCATAGCCCAGGGGTCGATAACATGCCCTGTTGCAGCTCCACAACAGAAACAGATTTGTAGGTAAAAATAAAATAAGCCTCCTTTGCAGTAAAATAAAGATCTGCTGATCATTCTAACTCTGGAGTTAATGTATAACTGCTAATTCACCCTTTAACCCTGAAGGTTGGCGTGCAGACTGCTGGTCACCACAGCAACGCAGTCAACAGTCTCACCTACCTAGCAGCTAACGAAAAGGCAAAGAGAAAGATTTAAGACAAATATCAATAATTTAGAGACTCCAGCTGGTCTCCTGATATGTTTTATCAACAACAAGAAACTGTCAAACACTAAAAAGTCACAAAGCTCAAATCAGCTCCTCGTTCGCCAGCTTCTTGTTCAAATTTTCCCGTTCAACCTTAAATGGTGCAACAGTTAGCTACATAGTTCAGGCACCATTTAAGGTGGAACTGAAAAATTAGAACACGAAGCTGGCGAATGAGAAGCAGCCTTGCCAAAAGTCAAACGTTGAGAGACATTTTACAAGAAACTATTTTACTTTTTATGGAAAAGTTGCCTGCTGGAGATGTGAAAAAGGGGCTATAACTGAGCTAAAGCTTAAAGCAGAGCAAAGGAGGTCTGGGTTTTCGTTTATATTACATTGTAGAGAATACTAGGACGTTAACACATACTGAGACATATGTACAGCCAAAATGGTGAAATGTTACTGTAATAAAATGGACATAAAATGTTGTGGCTCCCAAGGTGGTTCGATTTTTGTTGAAACTTGACAAAATGGCTTTTTTTAACATATGGGTTGCCGACCTCTATTATAGCCTAATCACAAAAATATCACTTCCAGTCTTGTGCAAAAGTTTGAACACACCTGGGCAAATGACATGTTTTGCTGATTTTCCAAGTAAAAACAGTTACACATCCTCTACAGCAAACAAACTAAACCATGGCATTTTTTCTGCTATTTTTAGTGCACAATTTCTGCTTGCTGAGTTTAACATACTGAAAAAAAACAAAACATAAAAAATGCGGCATAATTTTTTCACTTTTTAAATTATTTTTACTTAGAAAATCAACAGAACATGTCATTTGACTTTTGCATATGACTGCATCTGCCATTTAAACCTGTAAACGTATACATCCAATGAAATCACAAACTGTGAGGTAAAGCATAAATAGTAAGTTATTTTGCCTCATGTAATGAAAAATAACATTAACTGCTAAGTGATTTTTAAATTAACATTTTTGTTAAGGATGATAAAGTTTTCAGTTGCTCTTTGGTCCAACAGAAATACTGTTCGCTACCGATAGGAAGTTAACAAAATCCTCTTTATTACTGCAGTCCTGAATTCTTCAAAACACAGAGAGTAATAACTGCAAAAGCATTTCCACCTGAACACTGTTTAGCACAGAATGCTCACGAACCCTGCTTCACCATTCTACACTATAGGCTCAATCTACGTCACTGAGCCAAAACATTATGACCACTCACAGATGAAGCGAATAACATCGATTATCTCGTAACAATGGCGCGTTTCAAGGTCTGGGATGTATTAAACAGTAAGCGAACAGTTGGTTTTTGTAGTGGATGTGCTGGGTGGAGGAGAAATGGACAGGCATAAAGACCTGGGGACTTTGACAAGGGCCAAATCGTTATAGCAAGACAAGTAGGTCGGAGCATCTCTCAAATGGCAAGGCTAGCAGGGTGCTACCCGTCAATAATGGTGAGCACCTACCAAGGCTCAATTGATGCATAACAGCAACAAAGACTATTCCATCTGCTCTGAACTGACAGAAGGGCTCCTGTGGGACAAGTCACAGAAATTTTAAATGGTGTTTATGGGAGCAATGTGTCATAACACAGTGTGTTGCACCCTGCTTTGAATGGGGCAGTCAGAGCGCTCATGCTAACCCCTGTCCACTATTCAACATGCCTGCAGTGGGCAGTCAAGCGTCAGAACTGGACCTTGGAGCAATGGAAGTAGGTTGCCTGGTCTGATGAGTCCTATTTTCTTTTACATCACGTGAGCTATTTATCCGGGGAAGTGATGGCATCAGGATGCACTGTGGAAAGAAGACAAGCTTGTGGAGGAAGTGTGATGCTCTGGGCACAGTTCTGCTGGGAGACCCCGGGTTCGGCCATTCATATGGACATCAATTTGACATGTTCCACCTACCTAAACATTACTGCGGAGTATTCCCCGATGGCAGTGGCCCATTTCAGCAGGATAATATACCCTACCACTATGCACACATTGTTTGAGAATGGTTTGAGGGACATGATGGCGAGTTGAAGGTGATGCCCTGTCCTCTAAAGTCCCTAGATCTAAGTCCAATTAGCAGCAGTACCGCCACACAACTTACAGGGTCTGCTCCTAACATTGTGGTGACAGATACAACAGGGAACCTTCACAGGTCTTGCAGAGTCTGTGCCTAAACGGGTCGGAACTGTTCTGGCCTCGTGGAGGACCAACAGGATATAATGTTTTGGCTCATCGGTGTACATCCAATATTGA